AGAGTACTGAAAGACATTTACGAAGGTAGCGTAAGCCAAGTCAAACTGGAGACGCGAGGTCCTGATATACCGATCCGTAGAGGCGTAAGACAAGGAGACCCTCTCTCACCTAAGCTGTTCATAATGGTACTACAACACGTTTTTGATAATCTTAACTGGCAGGCGGAAGGGATTAGAATTAACAAAGATCGGCTTACACACCTCAGATTCGCAGACGATATTGTCTTATTTTCTGAAACAAGCAAAGGATTAGAAAGAATGATAACAAGTTTAAATGAAGAAAGCGAAAAGGTGGGCCTCAAAATGAACGAAAATAAAACAAAAATAGTTACTAATGATTACATTAACGCCATATACTTGAACGGAAAGCCGCTTGAATATGTGAGCAATTACATATACCTGGGAAAACAACTATCATTCGATGACAAAAATGAAGAACTAGAGGTGGAGCGGCGTATCAACATGAGTTGGAAAAAGTTTTGGTCCCTGAAGGAAATCTTGAAAGGGGAACTCCCCCTTTACCTAAAGAAAATTGTGTTGGATACCTGTGTCCTACCTACTCTTACATACGGATGCCAAACGTGGACATTCAGCACCAAAACAAAAAATAAACTAATAACATGTCAAAAAGCAATGGAAAGAAGCGTACTAAAAATAAGAAAAATACAAAAAGTAAAAAGCGAAAAAATTAGACAAAAAACTAAAGTTATAGATGCCTTACAATATGCTTTAAAACAGAAATGGCAGTGGGCAGGACATATGGCAAGACGCACAGACAAGAGATGGACATTACAGACAACTATGTGGAAAGGACCAAGAGGGAAAAGAAGAAGAGGGCGCCCTAGAAAAAGGTGGATAGACGATATAAAAGCGATAGCAGGAAGCGATTGGATAAGGAAAGCCATGGACAAAGGGATTTGGAAGAAGCTGGAGGAGGCCTTTACCCGAGAAGGGGTTCCGATCATTGATACAGGAGAAAGTAACGTTAGCGAATAAAAGAAAATTAAAGAAATTCTACCCTAGTATATTTAGATATTAAATCGCATGTAATATATTATCATTATGGATTGGAAATAAACAGGCTTTATTATTATTATTATTATTATTGTTACAGATTTCGCCAAGACTACACTATAAACAAATACTCGTAATATTAAAAATAAACAATACTAACCTTTTTTTTAAGGGATTTTATGACCTGGTGACTGAGACCTTTAAGTCATGTCTTATTTTAATTTATATTCATATTTTTATGAAAAATGATATTATGGAGTGAAATGAAATGAAGATGATTAATTTGAGTCATTAATCAACTGGGATGAAATTAAATGAAATGAAATGAGATGATTTGGGATGGAATATAATCTCAGTAAAATGGTGGTCATTTACTAAGATTTTTTCAGTGGACTTTTTGGAGGATCCCGAGAAGTTACGTCCAGCGGCTTTGTTTCATTTTCCCACATTTGTGCACTTTCACAGATATTAAACAGTTAATAAACCACCATTATTACACATTTAAACCTGAAGAACCACTAAATAGATAAACTAAAACAAATCACACAACTTCACTCCTCGGGTTTCCGCCAAAAAGTCACAATACTAACCTATTCTCAATTTGACTACAGACTTTAAGCAATAACAAAAGTTTGATAAAAAAAAAGTGCGTGCGTACAAAGTACACATTGTCCGCTTCCTGCCTCGCTTAAGCTTATTACTTGAGTCATTTATTTATTAAAACAGTATTCGGAAACACGTAAACAAAATGATTAGACGCGCGGCAGGAGAAGTATCATGAATATTCAGTGTGCATGGAATAACACGCGTGTATACCTAATTATAATGTTTAAATTTGAATGAATTAATTTGTTAAATTACATGTATCATGATGAGTAATAATTTAATTGTAATACTTAGATTATAACAAAAAGAATGCTTGTAAATAAAAAGTAAGTACATATCGACGCTTGAAAGGCAAACGTGACTAAGCGACAATGCGTGAACTTTACAGTAGACTAATTTAAAGTTGAAATACCTGAAAACAAAATTTATTTTAACGAATCTAGCTGTAGTAGAATCTAGCTAGTAGCTGTAGAATTGAAATGATTTTAATAGACCTGGAAATATATTTTTTTTGCGCATCGAATATGGTTATTGCCTATCATTTACGTACAAAGCAGTTATTGTCGCTTAGTCACTTTTGTCATTAGACATATGTAATACCTACCTTTTCGGTTTTATTTGGCGTTATGACATAACGGTTATGTGGTCATAGCATTATTTCTGAAGATTCCTATACTTTACAGTTTTCGTGGTCACGGAAGACTGCGGAAGATTCAGTCGTAAAGAAATTTGATTTAAATAAACGGCTATGTCATGTTGTGATGAAAATATTGAAATGGTAAAAAATATATAATATGTCGTTTGCTTTACAGATTTAAAACAATAATACTTGCTTATATATTTCTTGCTTATAATAATATATTTCGGCAGAAAGGCGCACGGATGGAGTACACTTATCCTTCTTAATCAAGACGCTAAGAGTTTAGGTTTGATAAGTTTCCTATACTACTTCCTTTACTACCGATAAGCTACTCGCAATGAGATTTCGATATCAGACCTTAATGTGGGCGGTAATCAAGTTGTTTGTTGGTTTCAGTGGCCAAGGTTTGTTCCATCTAAAAAAAGACTACCTAACTCAGTTCGTAAAAAAAAAACCTAGAATAATTTTTTTTTTATTGCCTTTGTAGGCAGACGAGCGTACAGCCCACCTGATGGTAAGTGGTTACCGTCGCCCATGGACTTCAGCAATGCCAGGAGCAGAGCCAAGCCGCTGCCTAGAATATACGTAATGTGTGACATTATTACGCAGTCTCCTTTATTGGACAGAATTTAGAAAATTTCAAGTCGATCGATCGAAACGGAATTATACTCCGTTACCTGTTTTATATTCGTCACCTAATCTAACCTGTGCTTGGGAATGTGATGGAATTATTTGATTCCAAACACAAAGCTAGCGTTCGTAGAAAGAAAAACCAAAAACAAATTCATAAAATAAAAGACATAACAAGCTTTCGTTTTTTAATAAATTAAAAACAAAAACAAAAAAAAAAAACATATTACAAACAGCACATCACTCACAACGATTAATAAATAAAACATTAACATTAAAAACTTAAATAGTATTAAAGCCAAACATAAAAATAAATAAAATTATTTAAACGCAAAACTATCACTATGTCGCAGACCGCGATTCGCATCCACCGCGCCGAGTGAAAACAGATTTATCGGAGCAAGTAACCGTGTCTAACTAATGGGGTTTGTGGGCTGAATACGCTAGGCTCTGCGCGTCTAATGACCTACCCCATCCGCTGCTTCCGTGACCTCCGCCGCTACTGTAACCACTAGACGAGTCTCCGCCATATCCGCTTGTACCTCCATAATCGTGGCTCGAAGTGTGACTAGATGTATGCTGAGGATGCGCCACCACTTCATAAGTCACGTGCTTCTGTTGTGACATCAATTTCTTCAAACCAATTATCGCTGACAAGACCAATGCCAGTTTTCCTATCAGTAACGCCTTGCCGGCTATTAACGCTATAGCTCCGATCGCAAGAGGCATTATTGCCATCATCTTCATAGCCATAATCGCCATTATTGGCCCAAGGATTTTTGAGGCTTTCTTCTTTTTCCCTCTGCTTTCTTCCGCGGCGTCATCATCGACGAAGGAAGTCACAGTATCTTGAAGAGCTCTTCCTGCACCAGTCACAGCATCCAAAATGTCAGTACCTTTCACTTCAACACTAAGAGAATGAGTTTCCAAATAGGTCCTCAGTCTTGAAAGCGGGTCGAGAGATCTGGGTGCTCCCGTCTGTATGACATCAGCTGACTTGTAGATCTTCACTCCATCGGTAAGAGCGAACGAATCCTTCTGCCCTATATACTTGTCCACGTATGAGAAGAACTTGTTTTTCAGACAGGATGTAGGGTCTTTCTTTAAGCAGTCGTCGAGATCGTTTTCAGAGTACGACGTATCTTGGGCGGGCAGAGCGGATGTAGCCGCAATCAAAGCGAAGATAAACAACGTCCTCCACATGATGCAGTCTGCGGCTTAATGCGCAAACGCAACTGGTTGTGGGCCTTTATATACTGTCTCCGCACCCCTCGGTTGTGAGTCGTCTTGAAGCTACTTTCGCGGGGCAAAAGTAAAGTTGGTATTTCATAATATTGCGAGCGAACGGTCATTGTCGGGGTCGACCTAAGCCGAGATAGGTCCTTGACTTTGCTGCTTTTAGTAAAAATGTATGCTAAATTGTTTTTTTTTATCTGGTCGCAAGTAGTGGCTTGAATTCTAAATGAGGTAGATGAGCATACGGCCCAATGTTCGTCGAATATAGTTGACAATGGACACGATCTGGCATATAAACTAGTTTTATTGTTACAGAGCAGATTGCGCGTTACGGATTTCCATTCGACTGATTTATCGGAATACAATAATCATTTCACAATAATGGGTCATCTTGGGATCATTTTTGGGGCAGATAAGCGGACCATCCGTTCAGTTGTTATTAAGTCATCTGGGTCTTTTTTTATTGCCCTTTGAGTTTGAGTCTGGTGTTTAATTTGGATGCAAAAATTTTTGGGTTATTATCCTCTGTGGTAAGTGAACCAATATCAGGATTTAAATGTCGCTGGTGGTATCTATTCTTTTAAGTTAATTCACACTCAAGACGTTTATGGTATAGAAGCGTGTCATGAAAAACCCAAATTCGCAAAATGGTTTTATTGCCCACGTAGGCAGACGAGCATACTGTCCACCTGATGGTGAGTGGTTACCGTCGCCCATGGACTTCAGCAATGCTAGGGGCAGAGCCAAGCCGCTCTACCGCAAATTCCGCTTCATGTATATTAGACACCATTTAAGTCCCTTTGTAGGCATGACGTTAGAATGACAATTACTCGTCACAACTAAAGACAGAATGACAGCCGATACTTGAGCAGGTTCGATATAGACTTTACCTTCTGTTGAATTGCTATAATCAAAAATAACTATAACTCTTTAAGATTGAACGAGCTCCCAGCCTGTTTTTTGTCAAAAGTGTTTGCCAAATGATCGTAATTCTAATAAAATTATTGACACTTCAAGATTTACATTTATTTTGTATATACATATTATATTTTTATTTTCTCTTTGATTTTGATAACGACTGCCGATTGATGTTGATCGAGGTTTAATATAGTGAAATAATAATAAAGAAAAGTTGGCTGACACACGGACGAGAAAATATTACATATAGGTAATATGGGCTCTTTTATCTTATAATCAAACACTTTTTATAATCAAAACATATTTTTTCTACGTATTTATTCTATATTTCTTCACTCTAATATCGGGTATGACTGAGCCGATTATAACATTTATTTCGTTTGCAGATCGGTAGTTTTTTGGTTGGAGGGTGGAAAAATTTTTTTTTAAAGAGGAGTGCCCCAATCTTTAGGATTTTTTTTCTGGCGTGTACGCTATCACGAAATACATAACGAATATAAGCCACACGCGGTATATGTGTTCGAGAAAGACCGCGTCACTGCTTAGTTGCAAAACTAGGCCGGACAGTGGTATCAACCCGTGCGGACTAATACGCCTTATGAAAACGTGAACCTCACAAAATCAGGGCTGTGCTACATTAGTGTTTCTCTCGACAATGTCAAAGTGCCTTCGTTTAACTCAACATGACCTTTATTGATAAAGCTCATTTATAGGATGCTTGATTACAAGCAAGATGAGGTTATGACGCCATCACCGTCAAATCAAAGCGTATCGAAATAATCCCCCATAGGATTTTGCTTTCTTTAATGTACCTGATGTCTATGAGCAACAGTGATTATGTACAATTGGCAATAAAAAGACGATTTGTGATTTCTGATAGCAAAAGAAAAATCATTCAGAAAATGATTTTGTTTTGTGTCCAATTCCCAAATAATATTTGAAATTGAGTTAATATGCGGAATCATTTGGTATCTCCAGTATTTTTCTCATAAATACTGTCAAAAGAGCGTAGCTTAGTTTCAGTTTTTTTTTTTTAGTTTACCTATGCTTTGACTACTATTTACAAAATTAATACATAATTTTATCTTACTTTAAAAGACAGATAATGTAAGTGGTAAAAAATAAAAAAATAAATGTTGCAAAGATGATTAATATTAAAAATGTCACATGTTAAACCTTTAAAACACTCTCCTGTAAAATTAGTAAGTTTTGAGATTGTACAGTTTTAATGTGAGAAGACGATATATGTAGCAGATATAGACGAGACAGTGGCCACAAACCACACACAGCTGTGCGGTACATCAATGATAAGCAATTATTCAAAAAATTTCAAAATTATTCACAGAAATCCTGACTCCGAAACATGTAATGTATATTATGTATATGAAATGCTAATTAAAAAAAAAGATACAAGAACTATCGAAATTATCATCGTAAAATACATTACTGTATCTTATTACGGTGTTGTTAATAGTCGATCTAAAAATGATCTTCAAACGACCGGTCGTAAAGTTCAGAATTCCGTGTTGAAAGTGTGTAAAGAGTGTAATTTTTTTTCATCCTTTCACTTTCGCAGTGCAGAGGTCAATGACCGCTGCTACTTTTTTTTTTCGTCACACCGAAAATAAGAATATAGTCTTGTTAAATTATATTTAGTTTAAAATAAAATGTAACAACTTTTAAATTAAATAATCCATCATCTTAAGTTCACCCGTCATTATTGCAGAGCCCGCACGCGCTTCTTAGCTTTTTTTTTATTGCCTTTGTAGGCAGACGAGCATACGACCCACCTGATGGTAAGTGGTCACCGTCGCCCATGGACGTCGGCGATGCCTGGGGCAGAGCCAAGCCGCTGTCTACCATTAAGTACTCTGCGCAAGCCTCGTTTAAAGAAGGACTTGTCATAGCGCTCAAAAAACACCGTGGAGGGAAGTTCATTCCAAAGCCGGATGGTATGTGGCAAAACTGTGCGATTCACTGCGGATTCCAAGAGTGGCGATTTGTGAAATAAAAAATTATCCCACATTAATCAGTGTCAATTGATGTTTCCGGGATTACTAGCTTCGAAAACACGAGCTGAAGAAATTGTCTTCGATCAGGATCTAACCTGTTCCCTATGGAAGGATGGTGAGCATCTGCCCAATCCAGTCGTGCTCCTAATGTATGAGGGTCGTGACCACCTCTATTCACCATATTTGTTCTCATGAGGTTGTAATATTTCTTCTTCTTGCTTCCCGAGCACATACACATACAACATAAGAAATTTTGAAAATTTATCGGCATTATCAGTGTCAATTGCCAGTAACAACTGGCAAAGGGCTGTCTCAAAAAATTCGCAATAAAAATAGAACCGACTTCAGAAAAAGAAGGACACACTGTGCTGGTTTTCTTTCATACATGACCCAGTGATATGTGAACATAAATACATTTGAATCGAGAAGTCTGTAACAATTATCCACTAACCGATATCCAACAATGGATGAGATGGGCCTTGACAGTGTGAATAGAACATGTTCTGTCTCACAGTGAATGTAAATAGCAAAAGTTTAATTTATAAGTGAGGTCTTCAACCGGTTTGACCCTGGTTTGGTGTTGTACTTTTTTGTAACATTGGGAATCACAATTTGCAGACATTCGGTCACAGGAGGTAGGTACGGGTCGGGTTACGCCAGACTTTGGCGGCTTCAATTAAGAAAAGGAGTAAGAGGAAGAAGACTGAGGTCAATTCCTCTCTCTCCAATTCATCCTAGAAGACTACGACTTGAGAAAGGTGGGCGAGGCAGCGTGCGGTGTGATCTGCGCAAGATCCTCCCTGCAGGACGACTACCCACTAAGCTCTACGAGAAAATTTCGGGAATTAACGAAGTGACACAACATTACTATTTAAAAATGTATTTATTGCTTTTCGAAGTATTCTCCGCGAAATTTGACACATTTTTCCATACGATGGAACCAATCATTGAAGCAACCATTCTATTCGGAAGTTGGGGTCTCGAAAATGACCGTTTTGTAGGCGTCCACAGCTTCTTCAGGTGATGAAAATCTCTGTCCACGCTATTTATTCTTTATTTTAGGGAAAGTATAGAAATCATTAGGGCTTAGGTCGGGGCTGTACGGCGGATGGTCTAATAATTCTATGTTTTCTTGCTCTAAAAACTCTTTTGTTCTGTGCGCGGTGTGAGAACTCGCATTGTCGTGATGGAGGATGATGCGGCGGTTGCAGTTCTCTTTACGGAGTTCAGAAATGACCTGTGGCAAACAAATTCTAGCATACCATTCTGCATTAACCGTTCTTTGTCCCTCAAGAAGAATAGTCGTAACATGGCCGGTTTTGGAGACAAACGTGGCCACCATTTTTTTTGTAACACTCCGTGAACGAACAATTTTTGTTGGCTTTAACTCATTTTCGAACACCCAAACTCGTGACTGGTTTTTTGTTTCGGGTTCGTACGCGTATATCCAGGATTCGTCACCAAATACAATGTTGTATACAGCATTTGAGGATCCTGCGTGGAATCTTTCGAGAGTTCTGACGCACCAAGTAACGCGAGCCGCTTTTTGCTCTTCACAGAGCGAATGCGGTATCCATCGGCAAAACAACTTTTTTACACCTAATTGTTCATGCAAGATTATTTGTATTTGACTCATGCCAATGTCTAAAGATGCCTGAATTTCGCGGTATGTCACATGTCTTTTTTTAAATAAATAAATGGTATTCGATTCTTAAAACCAAGGAGTTTTCAATAAAAAAGATTTTAATATGACAGGAACAGTGGAAATATTCCATTCCCGATACTTTTAGTGCAGCCTAGTATTGAGCTCCTTCACTTATTGGCTAAGCGGGAACCCTGGTACCGCATTTGTGCACACCATAGGTGCGCTTTTGCCGGTTCTTACATTGGAAGGAATCTGCCTGCTGTTATACCTACTGTGTCTCCATGATACCTTCGTAATACTGGTGACCTCAACAACTTTTCTAACATAGCATACGTACCGATTTCTATCCTGATTTGCCAAGGGATAAACACTGACTCTGTTCAGAAAGGACA